GGAGCCTGCAGTTAGTTGTTGAATAGTTGGAACCGAGGGCCTGCCCTGTGCCAGGCATCCCCTTGGGGTCAGGGGCTGAGGGAAGGCTGCAGGTGGGAGTCCCCTGCAGTGTGTGCTCTTAGGCTTCCTGGGGCCCTCTGAGCTCCACAGACTTGTGGGACTCCCGTCCTAGGAGCCCTGACCGCACAGGGCAGCAGTGGGCACGAGGAGGCGCAGTGCTGGCGGGTAGCACGGGCCTAACTCTTCCTTGCCATGGTTTGGTCAGGAAGTCAGTCCCCTCTGGTGCTGTGTGGGCCCTAGCCAGGGACAAGGGGTCACAGCTGCTCTGCACGTCCTCAGTGGCCCCGGGGGAGGTGAACCAAAGGACCCCTGCCCGGCCCCTCCCATGCCGAGAGGGCTATCATGAGGAGGAGCTGTCCCTGGAGAAGCCAGAGCCCGGCCACAGCCACCGCTCTGCAGCCAGAGGTGTGGGTTGTCAGCAGAGGAGGTCCCAGAGAGGGACTTTGGTTCAGGGCTGGCAGGGTCCTGGGTGAACCTGGGAGGAAGGAATTTCAGCACGAGTTTCTGGCATGCTGAGGGACAGCAAGTTGGGGCTGCGTCCCAGGGTGGAGCGCTCTGTAGGTGACAGGCCGTGGCAGGCACCAGGCAAGACAGTGGGCGTGAAGTCGCAGCGTCTGCCCCTCGTGGGACCAGTTGTGCAGGTGCTGTGGGCAGACCAGCCGAGGTGGGGGCCTGCAGCACAGGAGCCTGTCCCGTCAGGAGGCCCTGCTTCTTCTCCCAGCGCTCTGCACAGTGTGCCCACACCGCAGGGTCTGCCCTGCAAAGGGGAAGAAAGGCCCGGGCACTGGGCACATTTGAGGAGTTGGGGATCGGATCTGCAGCCTGCAGGGGCAGTAGGCACGGCCTTGCTGTCTCTGGGTGGAAGTGGGCTCGGCACCCCTACGCCAGTGTGTCTGCCAGCGTGGACCTGTCTGTGTGCTGCAGGGACTGAAGCCGGGGAGCTGGGAAGCCGGGGAGCCGGGAAGCCGGCGAGCTGGAGGTGAGTGTGTCTGGGGTTTCCCGACCCGGGCCACGGACTCTCAGGATGCAGGCTTGCCTGATGGTCGGACCTGAGCTCCTGGACTCTCTCCTTCTGCCACTCCCTCGATGGCCAGTCACGTGTCGCACCCTCGAGCCAGCCGGGTCTACGTGGACACCAGCTGGGCACCCTCTAATCTGATCCCAGGCTGATGCTGTCTGATCCCCTGGGTTGAGGGCACAGTCCCCAAGACACCTGCACTCCAAAGGCTGTGACCTGGGCTGCTGAGCGCAGGGCGTGATCGGGGCCCCTCCTCGGGCTTGGTTGACTTCCCGGGAGGCTCTCTGAGCTCAGGAAACACCTGCATTGTCCAGTTCCTGATGGAGGGTCCCGTGCACACCGTGCGGGGAGGCGGAGAGTTCTCCTGCGGGAGGCTCCCACGGGGGATGGCTGGGCCCCTCCACAGGGGGATCCGAGAGCAGCCTGGAGCCCGCCGCTCTCGGGCAGGGGTCTCTGGAGCTGGGCTGCCAGCTGTCCTCCCGAGGTGGGTGGTGGGCCTGTCGCTCAGCCCTCTTGCCCTCTGGCCTGGCGACTAGCAGTGTCCCCAGGCTGTCCCATCAGGCCCTGCGATGGCCTCCCAGGTGTGCTGGGAGGCTCTACCGACGCCCTGAGCTCTGGGAATTCCGAGTGGCAGGGCGCTGTTCCTGAATGTGAGCCGACTCTTCTAACAAGAGCTGCTTCTGCTCCTCATCACTCAGGAAGTCCCAAGGGATTTGGGAGCTCGAGTCAGGAACTGAGACCAAGACTAAAAGTCAGTGCTTCCTGTTTCACAGCCTCCAGTTCTAGGCCTGTGGGCATTCTCACAACAGGTCTGTTTGCTCCTGTGACGTGGCTGGTCGGGGTGGGCCTGTGCCTGCTGCTCTGCCCCTGGCTCTGCCCTCCCAGTTGTGGCGTTCTGACCTCAAGGTGGCTGCTGCCTCCTGGCCATCTCATCTGCATTCCAGGCACATGCAGGCTTTTCCTTTTGAAGAGCTTGCCCCGAGTCGCTCTGGTGGCTGTCCTGTGGGTAAGGAACAGGGACATGGCAGCCAGCTCTCCTGCCTCTGGCCAGGATTCCTCTGTATTTGTCCTGCATCCAGTTGGGTGCAGACAGGTGTTTTTCTGTTTGTGCCTCCCTTGTCCTGCCTGCAGGCAGAGCCCCGTGCCCTGGGGTCACTCTGCAGCCTTAGCTAGCCAGGTCCAGATCTCCCTCTGTGGAAATCTGAAGGCACTGGGAGACCGTCGGGGTGCCTTCTCAGCTGGCCGCGGTCCTGGCTCCGTGCCTGGGCATGTGCAGCTGGCAGCCTGGGCATGTGCAGCTGGCAGCC